AAGAGCAGTCCGCACGCGCGCTCAGGCGGTCTGGCGGGAAACGGTAAATGTTGATTGTCTGGCGGCAAGAGGGAGGGAGAAAGGCGAAAGCGGCCACGGGGTGGGATCAAGGGGGAGGGGAGACAGCGAGAGTGACGCACACAGACAGAGAGACAGAGAGAGAGAGAGAGAGACAGAGAAAGACATATATATATATAGAGATTTACATGTTCATATATATATATATATATACATATATAGAGAGAGAGAGTTACAGAGTGACAGAGCGAAAGAGAGAGAGAGAGAGAGTGAAAGAGAGTGAATGAGACAGAGAGAGAGAGAGAACACACGGAGTAGAGAGTGGACAACAGAGACGGCCGCATTTGTTATCCTTTTCGTCCCGCCCGCCACCAGCATGTTGTCTTCACGTGCTCGGCACGAGCAGCAGATTGGGGTTCTCCCAGGCGGGTCTCTGGTGTCTGACATCTATGGAATACGCCAGTATTGGAGAGAAGAGCATCCAGGGCTCGACCTAAACAGTGTTTCCCGTTCTCGTTTTACGTTTGTTTCCCCTCGTTCTGTATTCGTTCCGCCGTTGCTGCAAAACGGATTCGAAACGGAAGCGGTCAAAGAAGGCGCCGAAACACCGTTTGGACCGAGCCCCGAAAGCACGAGCTCGGAAGTCTGCTGTCCCAGGCTTGCCGTCGCGAGGACTGCCGCACGCCTAGCCACGGCCATAAGAGCCGCGGTGCGGCAATTAGAGCGCCGGAGGGGCCGCGGGTTCGGAGCCGCGGCTGCGAGAGGGTCGTGGCTTGAGGCGCGCAGTGGCCAGGGGCCAACGGCCATCGGGTCTGGGGAGCGGGAGAGAATCGGGGAACAAACGGAGTCCTCGAGTCGAGGGAACGCTAACATGGATTCAGGCGCGTGGATCATCGGCGGGTCCCGATTCCACACAGAGTCGGCGCGCGCTCTTGCCAAGAGAGGCGGCATCGGCCTCATGTGCCCGGGATTCCTTCCCCGATCCGAGGACCCGGCGCCCACGCTCCAGGTCCATTTTAGCCAAGCCGATTTGCACAAGTGCGCCGCGTGTGGGTGCGGTACAAATCCGCAGCCGTTGACGGGGCTGTCCCGGTGAGGTGTAGCTGCGCACGCTGGCGGCGCGGCGGGTCTCTGTTCAGCTGCTTTCGGCAAACCCCGCCAGCGCGTTCGCGCAGCATCGATATGCATGCGGGATGGCTCCAAGGAGCTCTCCCGAACAGGCTCGCCAGAGTCTTGTCGGGGCCTCCTGGCAAGCAGCGCCACGGAGCTGCAGTCCGGCGTTGCCGTAGGGTTGCATAGTGCAGTCGGAGCGCTGACGAAGGAACCCTTTTCGTTTGGGGGGGGCTCCATGCTCCTGATTTGTTGTACTGTTGCCTTTGGTTTACCTTGGATTTTCGATGGGAAATCGAAGTTAAACTGATGAGAAAGAGGGGCCTCGTTCCTAATTTAGGGTTCCTTACGTCAACGCCCCGACGGTAGTTGCGTTGCCTCTTGGGAGTTTCTCCGTGGGACTTCTTGTAGCCCTGCTGGTGTCCTCTCGGGAGCTTCCTGGTTAGCCTGTTGAGGGCCTCTTGGGGGCCTTTTTTGGGGTGGGGGTCATCTTGGGCGCCATGACCCTTGCGGGTTCTTCTGAAGAAGATGTGGCAGAATCAGCTGAGGGCCTTCTGGTTGGGTCGTGGCCGTCTTGTAGCCTTCTTGGGGTGGTATGGTGCCGTTTGGTGGATCTCGGGTCAGTGTGGGGCTCTAGGGAGCGGGGGTCGATTGCCGACCGAAAATTTGGAGGCATTCCAAGGCGCCCCAATGCGCCGTCTGAACGGTAGCGGATTGCGGCGAGATGTCGTATAGCATGCTAGTTAAGAGCACTGGCGTTTCCTTGTTGTATCTATGTAGGTCGTGATCCTTGCCTGCTTTGTCCTGGCTGCACCATGTTTCTGAAAAGCGCCTTCGCTGGGTTTCTTAGTTAAGCGTGGGGGAGGTACCCCCCGACGGGTGTCAACCTCGCCTAGTTGTCGCGGCGCGACGTGGGTCGGAGCGCCTTTTGCGCGTGGTGGCTGCCCGCGACGGGGGTCGATGTGGGGCTGTCGGCGGGGGTGACGCCCCCCCGACGCTTATCAAGAAACTCGGAGTTTGCTTCAGATGATCCCCTCCTCTCATATTGCCCCCCTCCAAAACAAGACATCACACTGAGAAAAACTGTCTTCTCACCCACACCCACATTTCGTCATGCACCCGCCCGTCTTGCACGTTGGTTTCTAACGCACAGGCGTCCCCAGGCTGCCGAGAGCATGAGCGGCTTCCTCTTGGAATTTCTCCGGTCGTTTCGATTGGCGTTCTTCCTGATGGTGATCGTTTTCTTATTCGTTGTTTTGCCGATCGGCGCGGGCCCTCGCACCCCCTCCGTCCCCCCCCCTCCATGGAGTAGATCTTGGATGTGTTGGGCGACTTTTTCAAGCAGGTGGGGTCTCCTCCAGAGGACGCACGGTTCCAAACAGTCGCGTTAAGCAGAGGTCCGGAGCCAGCCCCCTTTCCCCCCCCCCGTTCGCCCAATGTCGAATCGCCGAATATGAAAACGCCCACATACTTGCCGAACTCCTCGCCTCTTCCACGGTTGCTTCTATGAGCATTGCCCTCCTCTCTCGCAAGACGCAGCGCCGGCGACGCGTTGCATCAGAAGTCATATCTCGTGCGGTCTTTCTCGCCCCTGGTCTGGTTGCCCCCCCTCTCTCCTCGTTGCCCACATGCTCTCTCTATTATGCTTCCTTCTCGTTGCGCCTCGCGGTCGATGCAGCTGCTTGGCCCAAGCCCCCCTCGCGGCCCCCTCCAGCGTGCGCCTCTTGCAGGCGCTCGCTCAGGCGACCATTCAAGGGGCGGGTGAGCTGCTCCTCCGAGGCCTGCGAGCCGCGCCCTGCGAGCGGCTCGCGGGCGCCACCCGTGTCGGCGCGAACCCGCCGAGGCGCGCAGCCGAAGCCATGGGCTGCTGCCATGGCCCGTCCGCGGGCGGGGGGGGCACCTCGCCTCCTCCTCCTCCTCCTCCTCCTCCTCCTCCTCCTCCGCTTCCTCCTCCTCCTCCTCCTCCTCCTCCTCCTCCTCCTCCTCCTCCTCCTCCTCCTCCCCCTCCCCCTCCTCCTCCTCCTCCTCCTCCTCCTCCTACCCGTGTCTCGCATATGCCATGCCTCGTGCGGAGGCCCAGCTGGAGATCCAACCGCCTGCTGGCTGCGAGCGCGGCCCAGGTTGCGCCCCCCTCCCCCCCGCTCCGGGGGGCTGTTCCGTTCCGCGCGGAGCCCGCCTTTGAGGCGCCGCAGCGGTTCGCCGACGAGGCGGCGCGCGTAGGCACCCCCCAGAAGGACCTCCAGGAAGAAGGGCCCGAACGACTCACACCAGGACGAGAAACCCCAAACGACTCAAACCACGAGGAGCGCTTTCTCTCCCTCCTCCTCCTCCGCCTCGTCCTTCTCCCGCTCCCACCACAAGGAGGATGTACAAGGAGGCGGGAGGAAGGAGGAACAGGGGAGATATGCGGGGGGACCTCCAGGCGATGCCCGCCCAGGTCGCCTCCCCCACCGCAGGGTGTTCACAGCCGCGCAGCTACACAGGCGTCGGCTCCTCTGGTAGCAGCGTGGGGCAATGGCAGGCCTAGGAGCGCACGCCTTTCGCTCCGGCCACCATGGTCCCGCCGGGGGTCGGCGGCTTAGCGGGGGGGGGGGGGGGGCGCCGCGGGAGAAGAGCTTCGTGTGAGCAGCACCCGCGAGTCCAAGCTGGAGATGGTGGCGCTGCCGTGTCTGCCGGAGTCCCTCCAGCGGTCGGGGCCGCCGCGGGCGGCGTCGCACCCTGTGTTGGGAACGCTCAGCGACCCTCTCCACTACGCGGCCCATGGGACTGCAGTCAGGGGTCAAGGGAGGGGCTGCCGGGACCACGACGCACGGCATCGCGCGTCGCAGGGAATGGCAGCAGGTACTGGTACAGCACGGGCGCGAGGTGCGGTCGATCCTGAAGGCGAACCTCGCCCGTGCCCTGGGGGTGGAATTGTTTACGATGGCCCCCATGGCTATGTCCCAGTATTTTCGCGAGCGCGGCCTGCTGGGGGCCCGCCCAGCGGCCGCGAGATCCTCGCGCATTTTGCGTGGCCCACCGCGGAGTTGTGGCGCGCGTCCGAGAGCGGCGGGGATGCATGCGGACATGGCGGATGCCCTAGTAGCCTGCCAGCGCATGTTCATCGACCAGTTGGCGTGGGACCGTGGCTATCTGGTCCCCTGCTCAGTGGGGGCTCCTTCTGGTTTCGCCCGCCGTCTTCGACACCTTTCGGTACCCTGTGTTGGGCTGTTTGCGGGGCCTTTGGAGGCCCTCTTCGCGCCCGTTCCCTCCTCCGTCCTCCCTGCCGCTGGGGCTGCCTGGGTGCAGACCCTGGGCAAGTCGCGGGCGAATGACGAAAGCGGCCTCTGGTCAAAGACAGGCCCTGGAGGGAAGCATTCTGAGCTGTCAGCGGCGCCAGCACGCCAGCTGGATTTCGTGGCCGTTGGCATGCCTCTCTCGTGGAGTGGGGGCGCAACCAAAACGCGCCCACCCCCACCCGGCGACCTACCAGACACTATCGCCGAACGCATCAAAAGCAGGCAGAGTGCGGGAGGGAGCCGGTTTCGGTCACGACGAGGGAGGGTGGAGTAGGGAAGGGGTCGCAGGGTCGCAGATAGAAGAGGAGTGGGGAGGACGGGGGTGAGGAAATGAGGGGGGAGGAAGGGCGGGGAGGAGGGAGGACGGAGGAGGGAGAAGTAGGAGGAGGGAGGGTGGAGGAGAGGACGAGTCGTCGTCGCTGAGCCGTCGCTGGGTGGAGTTCATTCTCCGCGATTCCGCGCTGGCCCGCCCTGGCCCGCGCCCTGCCTTGCAGCGCGGCAGGCGCGGGGCGACAAGAAGGGCCAGGCCTCCTTCAAGATGGCGAACAAGCAGGGCCGCATCGAGCTGTCCTGCAACAACACGTCCTGCCTCGGGACGGCCGCTGGCCGGGTCCACGATCGAGGCTCGAGGATCGAGGCACCTGGGTTCGTTGCGTGATGCCCGACCCCGAGCCAAGGCTGCGGGTCGGGGGCCCACTAATCGGGGGAAGGCCTTTGTCGAGGAGTGGGCTGCCTCCTTTTCGGCCCTCCCCCCCGCTCCAGCGACAGAGGGTTGCCAATGTACGTCCAACACTGGCAGTCCTGGCTTTTCGAGTAGGAGGCCGGCTGCAGAATTGATGTGCCCCAGAATTGATTTGCTTCCGCCGAGCATGTTCTTAGATCTACCTGAATGCTACATACGTGCGTGTGTGTGTGTGTGTGTGTGTGTGTGTGCTTGTAGACTGGACGAGCACGTCCATATGGGGCCAGCTCGGTTCTGCAGTGGATCTCCTGCTTGAATTGTTGTTGGGCCAGGTCGTCAATTCTGTCACGCGACCGTGGGACGTTCCTGCCGCTCCTCCTGGCCTGCTGGGGCCTCCCGGGAGAGCCGCCACGCGGAGGCGGCCCGTTGCAGGAGAGCGGGGGGGGGCTCGAGGAGGAGAAGGGGGACTCCTAGGAGGAGGAGGAGGAGGAGGAGGAGGAGGAGGAGGAGGAGGAGGAGGAGGAGGAGGGAGGAGCAGGAGGAGGAGCAGGAGGAGGAGGAGGAGGAAGCAGGAGGAGGAGGAGGCAGGAGGCGAAGGAGCCGCGCCGAGACCTCGCGCCACGCCCTGCCTGCCCGCCCGGCTGCCCCCTCCCCTCCCCCCCCGGGGGGGGTGGGGGGGGCTCTGGCCTCGCCCACGCCCCTCGGTGTGTGCTCGGCCAGCCCCCCCTCCCCCTCCCCTCCTCCTCCTCCACCTCCTCTCCTCGCTCCCTCCCTCCCTCCTCGCCCTCTCCTTCTCTCCTCTCCCCCCTCCCCTCCTCCTTCTCCTCCTCCCTCCTCCTCCTCCTCCTCCTCCTCCTCCTCCTCTCCTCCCTTCCTCCTCCTCCGCCTCCTCCTCCTCCCCCCTCCTCCCTCCTCTCCTCTCCTCCTACCTCCTCCTCCTCCTCCCTCCTCCTCCTCCTCCTCCTCCTCCTCCTCCTCATCCTCCTCCTCCTCCTCCCTCGCCCCCATGGGGCCCCCCGCCCGGCCCCCATTGGGGTGCCCCGCTCAAGGAGCCGCCCCTTGGAGGATCGGGGTTCTGGGGCAGGGTGCTGGCGATCGAGGAAGGAACAGATGGCATAAACGTACGCTTTTGGCGCTCCGCGCGGATTTCTCGGATCCGCGCTGGGCCCTCCCCCCGGCGGCGCCTCCGGCGCCGCCCCTAGCTTAGCGCGCTCCGCGCGCTAGGGAGGAGGGTCTGGCGCAGATCCAAGAAGCCCGCGCGGAGCGCCGAAAGTTTATGTTCATGCAGCTTTTTCTTCTTCTGAGCAAGATTCGAGTAAGAGATCGACTACGTGATCGATCTGCACCTGAATGCAGAATGCATGATGCCGTCGAGACTGCGAAGCGTAGACTCGGCGGGACAACGGCTTCTGTGCAACCTGCGTGCGTTGCTTGAGCTCGCCATCTGCTTCGTCATGCAACGTATCTCGTTTCGGCCTCGTCCTGATCATCCTCTTCCCATCCTGCTCATCGCCACCATTCTCACCGCCAGCTTGTCATCACGATTGCTTTCATCATCACAAGAACTGTCGCCATCACCAATTCGCACATCATGGCGATGGTCGTTGCCGTCATCAGCATCGTCGTCCCCGTCATCGTTACCATTGCCATCATCAATACACTGATGTTCAGGGGTCGGCTGGCGACGGCGAACCGGATTAGCTCACCCCCCCTGGTCCTGAGCGCAGGTTGTTCGATCCCTCGGGCTTCTTCGGGACGTCGTGGCCGCGAGCTCGCTTGCCTCGGGCTTGGGCCCGCTCCTCGGGGGGGCCCGCGGTGGCCGCGACAGGGGGTGGGGGCGTGTAGTACTGTAATCAACTGTCACTTCCTCTCTCTCTCTCTTTCTCTCTCTCCCTCTCTCTCTTTTCTCCTGCACTAGTTGGGACCGCTGCTCATGATACGATGCGCTCCTACCGCTCTGTATCCTGCCCTCAATCCTCCCCCATGTAGCCCGAGCAGAATCTGATACTCCTCGTCGTCACTGTGTCCCCCTAAACATGTACTGGTTTTCTTAGATCACCTCGTCAATCCATTTGCCTTCAGGGGGTCTCACGGGAGGCCTCTCGGAAGCCCCGTAGAGGCGATATTGCAGTGTCTTGGGGCCTCTTGGTCTCTTTCGGACCTGTTGGGGACCTCCTGGAGCTTCTAGGGGGCCTCGTGGGGGCCTGCTGGCGGCCTCGGGGATCATCTTTGGGCGGAGGGCTCGAAACGACAGTTCGCTTTCCGCTGCTTGCGGCCCTTCTCGGGGCTCTCTTGGACCTCGTCGGGGGCCTCTAAATGCCCTTTTGGATCGTCCTGGAGGAACAACGGCAGGCTTTCGCGATAGTATTTATAAACGAATCCATATCCATACACACACACACAGAAGGTCATCATTCGTCGAAGGCGCGAGGCGTGACACCCAGGGAGGATTGGCACGCTCTGGGCCTGGCGGCCGCCGTATGCAGGGCGTGCGAGGCGGGCCGGGCCAACCTGTCGGGCCGGGAGCAGTGAGGGCGCGGCCTCTCGGGGGGGCTCCGGGGCCGTCTTTGGGGGGCAGCTTGGGCCGTCTCGATCGGGGAGCGAAGAATGACGTAGACACAAGAACTCGAAGGTCCGCGCGGATTTCTCGGATCGGCGCTCGACCCCACTCCCTGGCGCGCGGAGCGCGCCAGGGGCGGCGCCGGAGGCGCCGTCAGGGGGCCCCAGCGCTGATCCAAGAAATCCGCGCGGACCTCAGAGTTTTTATGTCTATGTAATGTTTCGTTCCCTACTTGAGGCCATCTGGACGTCTTGGAGCGCTCTTGGGCCGTCTCAGGACCGTCTTGGACCGTCTCGGGGGCCCCCTAGGATTCAGTTGGCCCGTCTGAGGGCCCGCTGGCTTCGAGAAGCCCCAAAGCTACGCGACAAGTCCCGAAAGGCACGCGAGAAGTCAATGAACAATCCAGCAATTGTGTCTCCATGCCTTTCAGTATTTACAATGTTCTATTTCCAGGAAGACCTGAGGGCAGTCCATCTCGTGCCACGAACATGTGTAGATGCGACATCTCGTTTGTGAGATTCACGTTGGTCGAATAACGTCAGGGTCGGTTTCATCCTGGGACGCGGGAGTCAACATCGCTGCGTGCAGCAGAGGACGGCACTCGCTGGCGAGGCGTTGGGCGATTAACGCAACGCGGTGGCTAGCGCCACGGCTGGCGGTGCTGGTGTGGTCGGAGTTGTCCCAGCTGGAGATGGATGTGATTTCAGTTCGCTCGCTGGGTGGACGACAAAGTTTAACACCATGAAAGTATGAGGGGCGACATCTTTTGGCTGTGACGGGTGCTTCACCTTGTCGTGCACGGCCTTCGGCTTTGGCAGACAGGGTCTGTTGACCGCTGATTCGGAACGGAAGACGGCATGGCGGTGCGGCTTGAAGAGCGCTCCAGGCGAGGATTCGTAGAAATACAGAAGCCAAGCTCTCGAGGAGCGGCACGGTACTTACAACATCGCCCCGTGTCCGTGCTCCGTGCCTTGTGTGTGTGCAAAGTCAGAGCCTTAATCTAGTCATCAACCTCGCCCTTTTCTTGGTGTGATCAACCGGAGAACTCCCTTTCTCTTCGCTTCTGCTCCTCGGTGCGCCGCTCGCGCTCCTTTCCAGCTCTTATCCTTCGCCCCCCTTCTCTATCCTTAGCCGCTCCCTGCTCTAATTGTCCGTCATTCGCTTGGCCCCGGCCCCGGAGGTGGCCCTCGAGGCTTTGTCATCGGACCTCCCCTCCTCTCTTCTTCGCCCCCTCCCCCTGCGCGACTGTCCAGACCGTTGCGCCTCCCGCGAAAAATTCGCGAGAGTCCAGGCCCCCCGCGAAAAATTCACGAGAGTACCGCGAACGATTCGCATGAATCCTTCGCGCCGTGCACTGTCCCCTGAGACGCCCCCCGGGCTACCTTGCCCCCGTGAAACCCTCCTGGGCGATTCGCGAGGGCTGTTCCCGCGCGAGACCACCCCGGGCGACTCGTGCAGGAACTGAGCGGCGGAGACCCCCCTGGCGACTCCACCGCTCGGACCGACCCCCCCCCTGTTGAGTCGGCCCGTCCTGGACTCCCCCCGGGCGATCCAGGACCCCCCGCGCCCTCCTAGGCGAGCAGGAGCGCATACGGGAAAAAAACCCGCCTAAGCTCCCCCTTTTTGCGGGAACTTTGGCGGGTGCGATCCGCGCCGGGGCGGCAGTCGAACCCCCCGGGTGATAGATCGCGGCAGATTCCTCCCACATAACAAAACACACACACACACACACACACACACACACACACACACACACACACACACACACACACACACACACACACACACACACACACAACAAACAACAAAGCAACACAACCCAACACAAAAAAAACAGACAAAAAACACCAGAATGAACAGAACAAACAACACAAAACATTCAAAACCACACACGCACACAAAAATGTTTAAATTATGGCTCTGACGTGTCCAGTCACGCGAGTCGTGTCCGCGCTGTCGCGTTTTCCCGGTATACGGCACACCCGAGAACAGCGGTTTGCACCCCGGGATCAGCATTCCGCGCAAGAGGCAACCCTTGCCGATCAACTGAGAAGCGATGAGGCCCGTACATGCACGGCTGAATACCGACATTGTGATGATGTCGTGTGTTATTCGGATGTTTGGGAGTCCAGGCCTGGTGTTCAGGTTAATAGGTGGCATGCGACGGTGGAGTGTTCGGGGCGGCAAGGGTTTCCGCACATAATGGGGGCCCTGGTGCCTTGCACTTACGTTGCGGGATGCACGAGGCAATTTCGTCAGAAGAAAAAGAGGTCCCCATGGATGTGCCGCATACGCCGGAAATGCGCGTCCGCGGCTGGTATAGGGCGACTATGACGGCGAACCAGCGTCGAT